AAACTACTTGTATAGCGTATTTCTACATATCTACTTCTAATCGTTTCCTCTTCTCCTTCTTTTTCGTTCAATTTCGCTTTATATTCATTTATTTCCGATATAATGTCCATACGAATGTATTTTTTGAAAAATATCAAATAAATGTTTTGGCCGATGTATTTGTTTTAACTTCGATATATTCCTATATATATATATCACCCTAAAAATTATGGATATTCCGCATATGCGTTACACTTTATAATAATGCACATATTACGATATTAATAAAGTACTACGTTGTATCTTTTAACACGTATATACGAGTTTGCGTGTGTTAGAATTATTACATTGATCCGTGACACTCATATTGTGATATACATATAACAATAACATACACGTTACACATCTACTTATAATGTGTTCAATATGTATATATATTTCAAAATATGTACATATATATGTATATATTTTTTTTTGTTGATGATAATGATGTTAGGTTATATTTCGATCATTAGCGTGTCTGATTTATATCGTTTCTTATATCGGAGTGAGCATTGTCGTGTATATAGATAATTACCTATAATAATATTATAGGTAAAATCATTTGTGTTATTCGATCGAGTTAAAGATTGTTCAAAAGTCGTATCCGCGACGAATGATTATTCGATCGTTATATATCGAAACGATTTGAAAACAGCGCGGAGATCGATTCACAAAAATTCTAGTGAAGCGTCACGCTGATAAACGCTTGTGGCGCCACTTCTAGCGGTGTGTTCGCGCACGACTGTTTCGAGTGCAGCGCTAACCACTCTTCATTATTCCGCCCGACGAATCGCCAAAAATATGCAAAAATATGAGAAACTCGAGAAAATAGGAGAAGGTGAGCGTCTATCTTTTCTCAATTATTCGTTATATCTTGCCATTGTTTTTTCTACGATTTTATTCCGCTTATTTTTATGTACGGATTCTCGTAACGTGTGCCGAATTCTATGTATTTCTGTGTATATGTGTATTTTTTGACAACCGAACGACGACGCATCATTATCGCGATTCTTCTTGTATTTGAACGAAACAGAGTAAGTAACAATCGTTTAATAGCATCGATTCTTTTTGAATTATTTGTAACTCTGTATTTTTATCAATTATTTCTCTATATCGTTGACGAATAAAATGTCAGACAGTGTGGTAATATTTGTATTCTGGCCTCAATCAGTGTATTAAAAAATTATTTTTATTATTTAAACTCTCAATCCGTTCAAATGCAAACATTAAAAAAAAAAAAACGATCGATTATTCTTGAAAATCTATTCTTATAGTATAACGATAAGATTCTGTTAAATACGTCACGACTAAACAAGCATTTATTGCGTTTCAGGTACTTATGGAACCGTTTTCAAAGCTAAGAATCGCGAGACCCTTGAAATCGTTGCTTTAAAGAGAGTTCGATTAGACGAAGACGATGAAGTGAGTTTTATAATTATAAATTTATTAATTTGTTCGATTTCCATTTCTTTCATATTGAATTCGATTTTTTCTCTCTATTACATATAGGGTGTACCGTCGTCCGCACTCAGAGAGATTTGTTTGCTAAAAGAATTGAAACACAAAAATGTAGTAAGATTGTATGATGTGTTGCATAGTGATAAAAAATTGACTTTGGTTTTTGAACATTGTGATCAGGATCTGAAGAAATATTTTGACAGTTTAAACGGAGAGATCGATTTGGATGTCGTCAAATCCTTTTTGTAAAGTATCGCTATAATTCTTTTATTTTATATATATATTTATCATTTATATACATGTATAACATTTAAAATATTTTTACGCACCAAATTTTATCTTTCTTCAGATATCAATTATTACGAGGATTGGCATTTTGTCACAGTAGAAATGTATTACATAGAGATCTTAAACCACAAAATTTACTTATTAACAAGGTACCAACGATTTTACCAATTCCATTTGATTTGAAAAAGACATCTTCCAACATTTATATTTTTTTTACATTTTGTTTAGAATGGCGAGTTGAAGTTGGCCGATTTTGGACTAGCAAGAGCTTTTGGAATTCCCGTAAAATGTTATTCAGCGGAAGTTGTAACATTATGGTACCGTCCGCCAGATGTTCTTTTTGGAGCGAAATTGTACACAACATCCATTGACATGTGGAGTGCCGGATGTATATTTGCTGGTAAATAATCTTAAAAAAATGACAGAAATAATGACGGATGATACATGGTTGCCAATCTGAACTATTTAGAGCTAGCAAACGCCGGTAGACCCTTGTTTCCCGGCTCGGACGTGGACGATCAATTAAAGAGAATATTTAAGATGTTGGGTACACCGACCGAAGAAACGTGGCCAGATTTTACAACTCTTCCAGATTACAAACCTTTCCCACTTTATCATCCCGCTCAAGGATTGGCTCAAGTTACGCCAAAACTTAATTCCAGAGGCAGAGATTTATTGCAGGTATACTTTTTATATTTAAAAATATTGATATATCGAAATTTTTTGTTTCTCTTTTTCCAATTTTTTTTACCTTGGTTGTTACCTTTTCAGAGGTTGTTGGTGTGCAATCCAGCGTTACGATTGTCAGCGGATGAAGCAATGGTGCATCCCTATTTCAACGACTTAAACCCTGCCATTAAAAACGATCGTTGTCAGTAGTGAATCTCATTTAAATTGGTTCAATCTACAGCGAGTATGTCGCGAGTAGTGCAACGACCAAAATCATGCGGGCAAAGATCGTTTGTTAATATATATATATAAATATATATATATTACTATTATTGTAAGTATATATTTCGCACTCGATGCATCGGTTATGATGCAAGATTAAGCAACGGGTCCTGTGTTATAAAAATGTCCAAGAGAAATCAATAAATTGTCAATTTTATTAATCACGACGATTTTCTATCTGAAACGAAGAGAGTGCGCGATATATTTCAGAAACTTATTGTACAAAATACCGCCAAAGTTTCTTTAAATTAAACATATTGCAACACACACGCACACGTATACACACATACACACACATACACACACGTCTACACCTACCTACACGAGTACCATTAATCATATCGATTTATATGATACATCGCGTCCAATCATATGTAAACATTTATTTGTTCACTCGGTCATTTGTTTGTAGATGTTTGTATATTTGTTAATTTAACGAATTATCTATTTATTTATCGATTAACGGAATAACTTATCGAATTATTACATTAAATTATTACATTAAATACAATTTTCTTAAAGATACTCAACGAATTTTTACATCGCATCAAAATGGAACCTGTGTGCTTCCTGAAGTTTCTCGATCTTGTCCTCCCTTCGCTCTTTCCAATACAGAGCGATGATAATCAAGGATATTAAACCACAGGTGCCGGTCAATGCGGCAGCGCTAAGCAAAATTAATTTACTAGGTGTTACGAATAATTGGGCTTTCCATCGCCAAGGTTCAGCTATCGGATTTGGAATTACTACCATCTGAGAGTTGGGAATAATTTGCGGCCATTCTCGTGATTTTCCACCAACCTATAAAGTAAACAAACTCTTGTATGAATTGGTAAAAAATTTGTATGAATTGCTGGCAAAGATATTTATTACCCCAATGGTGAGAGCGTCGACAAAATTGGGCGTTCTACCCAAACCAAAAGTCGTGTAAGGTAAATTGAGAGAGAAATGTGCGCTCTGCGGCAATTGAGCAGCAATCGCGTTTCGCGGGCTGCCGTCCTGAGTGGTGGTTCGATAGGCTATCGATGGACCAGGAAGATTCGTTCCGTACGTTCTTTTTTTCTTGCCAAGCGAACCCGGGGAAATTGGATACATACTGTTGTTACGTCCTGTCAATACCATCACTTTGACAAAGTTTGCATCATAATCTAAACTATTTTTAAACGCAGCTGTACGATAAGTGTTGCTACTTTTCTCCAACTCCACCAAGATCACGTCTAAAATACCGTCTTGATAAAAATCATAAAATACCGCCATAGAGGTTTCATTGTGGAATGGATTCAACGCTTGCCATTTAACTTCAAACTTTCTGGCGAAACCAACGCACGAATCGCATGCGACATTCTCTAATAGATAAGAACGTTTCTGTTTTCCAGTGGTCGATTTTAACGTAGCTAACAAATCCGGATAACCGTCCATGTTGAAATCACCGCCACGAAGAGTGATGGTATCAGTGTATCGTTGTCCATCAGGTTTCACGAAACCCCACAACACGTTATCCCCATCTCTGAAATTTACTTTCAGATTGTACCATTTATCAGATGTACCATGTACATCGGAATACATCATGATTGTACTATTTGTACATGCATCATCGAAACAGAGAGGCAGAAGCAAAGACATTTTCCCCGTTAATTCGACATCCAAATAGAGCGTTTGTCCAAGCACGCCATTAAAATTATCCAATGTTATGCCATAGGGGAATGATATCGGTTTGTGAAATTGAAATCCTTGCTCGACTCCGTGCCAAATTTCAAAATATTTCTTTGTAGTGACAACTAGATCCGCTAAAAAGTCGTTGTTTAAGTCGAGATAAGCATTCGAGTGAGGTTGACTAATCGGTGCATTTTCTGATGTATTCATCGGTATAGCTGTCGGTGCTTTCCTGCTTTGATTGAACACCCAAAATGTACGCTTGTTCTCATTGTTCAAGCCAAATAAATCTATTATCATATCGCCATTGTAATCAAGAGCTAATGGTTGACCTGTCATGTTAAGCAGAGGATGTTTTTCGTTCGTGCAATTCAATCGACCATTTCCACCCCACAGTATGTATACGTACGACAATTTCGTTTCCTTGTCGAATGTGATCACTAGAACGTCCATAAATACATCTCCATCAAAATCACCTGGCACCACACCAACGACTGTACGACGAAACGTGCAACTTAAGTCAAAGCTTGGTCGCAAAAGGGGCTCTTGCTCAGCGGCCAGAAAAATTTCAACAGTCGTACCATTTTTACGTAACATGAACACATCGGTCAATTCATCGGAATTAAAATCACCAAAAGCGGCTGGCATACCGTCTAATACGTTTCCGAATACCGCAGAAGTAATATCGCTGCATTTTACCGTAATCGCGATTGCGATCACTTGTACGATTATCAATCCTATTTGCATTGTGTCTACTCTTTCTTATCTGTAATAAAAATTTTCATCTTTATCTTTTTTTTTATTTTTATAATTTTTTCAAATTAAATATTTTAAGTCTTTTTTATAAAACATACATAGTACGAACATATGATTCAACTTCGTAAAAAATCGTAAAAAATGTAATTACTTTAATGACGCAGAGAACACATAAAACTAACCTAAAAATTTGTATAGCTATTCAGAACAAGCACAATGGTTAAACAAATTGGCACAAACATGACAAATATACATCGAAAAATTGAACATAAATCGGAATACTTATAACTGTGAGAATAATAGGATAATACTTACCGTTGTGAAATGAATCGCGAATATATATTAATCTTATTCATCCTGTTTTGATAATTGATCGATGACAGTAAGACCACAGATAAAATATAGAATAGAAGATGTAATGTTTAATAGGACTTTGTGTCTCATGTTCTGAAATACCGATCGCACAAGAATATTTATATATTCGTTACACACTATATATAGTAATAATGCTGAAAGTCGATTTCGAACTCCATTTACGAAAAGTTGAAAAAGTCAAAAAATCTATATATTCCTTACATAGAAAATAAATTCATATATAAAATATATAGAAATCTAACATATAGAAGAATGTAAACTAATATATATATATATATATATATATAT